GCTCTATGTTCTTAGGAGGCCCTACAGGGAAGCTTACCTAAAGGAATTTAACTTCAATTTAACTCATTTAATCCCTCAGCTTCACTCAAGTTTACCTAAAGGAATTTAATCTCAATTAGTGTTTTATTGTTTCTCTCATGACAGTGTGTTGGTAAAGAACACCCCCACAAAAAAAAACCAAAACCCCAGAAACCACCAGCTCCTGAAAATGAATTCCACAATATCTCTGAAATGTCAATTTGTCAATTTTTATTCTTTGTGTCAACCTTTAATTAAAAAAAAATGGTGAACCCAAATGAAAGCAAGGGGAGATAGAAAAGAAAAAAGCTAGCATAAAAAAAAAAAAAAAAAAAAGGGTTACATCAAGACCTCCAAGGATCGCTCATCTATTCTTTTTACCAATGTTGGGTTTGTCTTTTCTAAAATATTGGTCACCTCCAAAAATGCAATTTTAAGCAATTCTAAAAATTTCCCAGCATAGTAGATGAAAAGGAAAGGAGACAGTACAGGATTGCTTCATTCCCTACAACGATTTTTCACTTCTCATTGTTGGGTCACACTTGAAAGGAAGCAGGAACCATTGAGAGCTTGACTCAGATCTTTATATGTAAAGCTACAACACCAGAAAGCTGAAGCCTTCCTGCACTTGCCATCTTGACCGGCCAATTCAACACAGTCACATTGCTTTGCAAGATTAGACCATAAATTCACCTACAAACTATTTCTACAACAGTGTTCAGTGTGGACAGATACCCACACACTTGTGTATACATTTGTCTATATATAATACAGAAACAAGAACACAGTCATATCTGTATATAGGAAAAGGACTTCATGATTCGCAAGCTGGAGGGTCAGAAAGTGAGATAGACCCTCAGCAGGCTCCATTGACACTGTGACTGCAACACTAGGCTCAACGTTCATCAGAGAAGGTTAGGATGGTGCAGGATACGGCAGGATTCAGATCTGTTGTTCATAGAATTGCTATGAATCTTAGATCAAGAGCCCGAGGGGTGCCATAGTTAATTGCTGAGCTGTTAACAGAATAAAGTCAGTGGCTTGAACTCACTCAAGGGCTCAGTGAGAGAAAGACCTAGAGATCTGTGTAGCCTAGAAAACTCTGAGACAGTTCAACAAGTTGACTTGATGCCACCTAACGACAGTATATGTATACATATGTGTGTATGTGTATGAAGTGATTTATCTATTCTCATCCTTCAGACTTACGTACACCATCATGCTGAATTTCTAACCTCGGAAAACACTGCTGAAAGGCACCATATAAGTACTGAATATTTCTCATAGAAAATAGTTTAGCTGACAAGAAAACTATTGCTCTATGGCCTGTCCCCACCTAACTTTCCTCTCAATAATCTGGGAACTCTACCATCAATTCCTCTTTTTCCTTACTCATGTGCCAAGTCTTTTTCTCCATGCCCTATGCCAAGATTCTCTGGCATAAACACCTGTGGCTGCCAAACCTTCCTGCTATTGTCCTAACATAAGCAACCAGAAGATGGCTGCTTTGTTCCTTCTCTGCAATTTGCTTTGTATATATGGATGTCAGAAGCCTACAGCGAAAGTAAATAAGCCATTCCTTTTTTTTTCTGGTAAAAAAAGAGTGGAAGAAAGAGGGATCTGCTTCCCTAGTTCATAGTCTGTCATAAGTAAGAAAATCCTTGTTGTTGTTGTTGTTGTGATGTACCATTGAGTTGCCTGACTGAGTTGCCTGAGACATATAGTGACTCTATGTACAAAAGCTCTGAACCCTGCATATCCTGAGCCAATCTCACATCTCTGACACACCTACCCCTATGACCCCAGTTACTGTCAGTCCATCTCATTCAGGGTCTTCCTCTCCTGTGCTTTTCCTTCACCCCTCCAAGCATGATGTCCTTCTCCAAGGACTGGTCCTTCCTGGCCACGTACCCAAAGTGTGGGAAACAAAGCTTCAAAATCTTTGCCTCCAAAGAGCAGACTGGTTTCACCTTTCCCAAAATGGATCTGTTTCTTAGAGCCTTAAAAAGAACTGGTTTTAAGTGGAGAGCCCTGGCTACACAATGGTTAAAGTGCTCTGCTGTCCATGTAAAGGTCTGCGGTTTGAACCCACCAGCTCTTCTCTGGAGAAAGATAGCAGTCAGCTTCCATAGAGATGCACAACTTTGAAATATGGGGCAGCTCTGCTTCTGCCTGTATGGGTTCTATGAAGTGAAATAAACTCAGTGCTGGGGGGTGTGGTTTTAGATGATTGCATGTGATTTCTGTTTTCCTGTTGTGTTTTTGTTTTGTAAGCTATATAGGTAGCTCTGGTGGCCTAATGGTAAGGAGCTGCACTGTAATCCCAAAGGCATGCAGTTTGAATCTACCAGCTGCTCCACAGGAGAAAGATGGGCAGTCTCCTCCCATGTAATTAACTGCCTCTGAAAACCTGCTGAAGGGTTGAGTTCGACAGCACACAACAACAACATATGGAAATGGTAGAATTAAGCTCGTACTGCTCCACACTTTTCAAAATGGCTAGCAAGTCCTAAGATACTTCCTAAATATCTAAGGACTCAGCTCAAAGCCAGTATAACAGTTTGAATACACTGGTAAATGTGAAGATGTGTAAGTTTTCTCATGTTTGGAACATTGTTTTAAAGACCTTTGCCCTGACACAGGTGAGCTGGGTCAGGACCCAGTGAGCATGGCACTAAGCAGAAGAGTTGGGTTCTATACTTTGATTCAGCCCCTAACTAGCCCTGGGAACTCGGGCAAGTCAGCCAATATCTCTGAGTCTGGGCATTCCCATTGATAATATAGAGATAATAGCTTACTGTGTCCATCAGTGTTTTAGATGCCTTCGGTATATTGCCTCTTACCATCTTCTATCCTCTGAAGCGGATATTCCTATTACTATCCTCCACTTTTTAATTTATAATTTTAAAGGTCTGAAATGAATCATATAGACCCCTCTGTGAACCTCTCAGTGAGAGAATTTTGCTCCCTGAGAGAAAGATGGCCTATTTTCTCTCATAATAATCTGCAGCTTTGACCATTACTCAAAGACAGTGGGTTATTACAGATGATTCACAAATATCTTTTCCTTACTTAGGTATTTTTATTTGAAGATCAATAAACCTGCAATAAATTACATCAGTGATATTTATAGTAAGAATTATTTACTCAAAACCGAAATAAAACACTTTTAATTCATTAAGCCACATGTGCTTAGCCATAGTAGATAAATTGCTCATCAGAGAGCAGAATTTCCAGTAATTCTACAAACTGTTCTACTTTTTTTAAACTCATAATCTGTATCTCATTTTAGAGATTGAAAACTGAGGGACAAAGAAGTTAGGTTTCTGGTCTACAGTTCCCGAGCTTGGTGCGGTGTTAGGATGCAAACCAGGCAGTATGACACAGGAAGCTGTGTACCCACGGCCATGCTGCTGTTTTCCTTAACTCCATGAATGGTGAACAATCAGATGAAGTACTGCAAGTAAATGAACATGTTATTATTAACTCTGTGAAGTTCACTTCGATGTGTGTTAAGAGGAGACAATACTGTTTCAAAGCTTTTGATTTTAGGAAGGTTGGTAATAAGGCTAACCTAAAGGCCAAGGTCTCCGGCAGTTCAGCTCTGCTAGGAACTGCAGGAGAAAGGTAGGAAATCTCTTTCCATTAGGATTTATAACCTGGGAAATAAAGTGGGTGGCAGTGAGTGTGAGGTTTTTTACTTATAAAGCAGGTATAATACCAAGTATGAATATACACACACACCCACACACACACTCTAAATAAACCAAACCCAAGCCTACCACCATAGAATTGATTCCAGTTTATAGCAACCCTCCATCAACTTTGCAAGGCTGTAAATCTTAAGCTGCTAGGGGCTTGTTTTCATCTCTGTGTGTGTGTGTGTGTGTGTGTGTGTGTGTGTGTGTGTGTGTAATGGAGCTCTGGTGGTTTAGCAGTAAGAAGTTGTGGTACCAACCCAAATGTACACAATTCAAATTCACCAGTTGCTCCTTATCATTAAATTACCAGAGTGCTCACTCTCACTCTTGCCCTCTCTGTCTTTTCACACACACACATGTGCACACACACACACACACACACACACACACACACACACTCCTTGTCATTGCATTGGAATCAAGCTATAGCTAATAGCTGACTCTCCATTGACTTCCTGTAGCTGTAAATCACAGGAAGAGAGACTTTTTTCTTTGTCCTAGAAGTGGTGGATTGATGGAGTATTCCATAAATATGTAACTATATAGCGTGGTTGTAAGAAGCTGTGCTGCCACCCCAAGGGTACATTGCTCGAATCCACCAACTGCTCCATGGGAGAGGGATGGACAATCTCCACTCATATTATTTACTGCTTTCTCCCACAGAACAGCTGGTGGATTTGAACCACATGCCTTTGTCATTGCAACTCAGCTTCTTACCACTAGACCATCAGAGCTCCACATAAATATGATCAAGGTTAACTAGTAATATTATTATTATGACATTCTATCACTAAAATAATTTCATTTTTTTCCAAGAAAAGTAAATTAATCTATATTTTCAATGCAAAGCCTGGAACATTGTGATGTGAATGTTGTTGTTGTTGTTGTTGTTGTTATGTGCCATTCAGTCGCTTGCGATTCATAGCGACCCTATGCAGAGTTTAGGGCTCTAAACTCTGCTCTGTCTTATGCCAATCGCACTGTCTCTGACACTCCCATCCCAATTACCCCAGTCACCGAATCAATCCACCTCATAGAGGGCCTTCCCCTCCTGCGCTGTCCATTATAAATTGCATAAAACATCCTTTTATTTGGTTCAAATGGGGGGAATGCCCTTATCTATTACAATTTGCAAATGGAAAGGTGAGATTTTGCTTCCTCTTACACTGCCCCTACCACACATAAAACTGTTTCACTTCTCAGTCTGAAAAACTAGTATAATATGATCTATACTTGCCCACTGCTATAAGACTAACACATTTTCCGCTTTGCTTTTTACAGATTTTTGCATACATGAATGAAAACACTTCGCAAGAGGAAAAGTGGGACCTCCAAGCTCTGAGATTTTTATCAGTTAATTCAATAATTGACCCTTGGGTCTTTGCCATCTTTAGGCCTCCTGTTCTGAGACTAATGCGTTCAGTCCTCTGTTGTCAGGTTTTATTAAAAACACAAGATACTAGACAAACTTCCTGTTCTACACAGTCAAATTCCAGTAAACAAGCTGACCTTTGTGGACAGTAATTAGGGAGTGCTTAGTTAGCCAGCATCTGGAAGATCATTTTGAAATGATTCCTTGGAGAAATGCAAAAGATTGGTTTATAAACAAAATAAGGCTACCCTAATAAAAAGGAGTAAACAATCAGTTAAGCAGTGATGTGAGTGATAGATGTGTGGACAAGTCACTTCATGGAAAGTGTCAGGAAGGATCTATAAATTATAACCTTTATGGTGCATGTTACATGGCCTTTGTAGTAGTCAACCACATCTATAATCTATAGTAGCCTTTAGAGTTAACTTTTGTGTTGACTAAGAAAGTATTGGTTTTGCAATTGGTTTAAAACCCTAAACAATTATTGGCTTTTCTAATTTAATCATCTTTGCTACAACACTATATAGTGTACAGGCAGATCAGATATCACTGTATACATATATTTTTTAGGAAATCATTGTGTGGAAGCAATCAAGACTACTGCCTTGTGATGGCTTAATGAATCTTCTGTTTAGACAGTGAAGTTGAAAAATATAAGCACTTTTTTACTGTGATGTCTGCGTATGTGGGAGTACTCGCTTGTCATTACAGTATTACTCTTAGAAGAGTAGGCACATGTGGCTAACAGCTTTGTTTGCTATTTCTTCAGGAACCATGTGTAAAATTGTCAGGTTATTTATTTCACAAGGGCCAGTTGTGCTAACAGAAATCAAGAAAATGGAAGGGGTTTTCCTCTCAACAAGAAATAATAGAAAACCAAATGAGTAAATCTAATACACTTCATTGTGTTTCCAAGGAAGCATATATATGACTGAATCGAAAGTCAAACTGAGAAATGAAAAAAATCTAGTCAATTCTCCAGATAAACTGAAGCTTTTTAGTGCTGATGTTGAAGCCATGATTAACATATATTCTTATGAGATGGCTGTGTTGTTACAAAATTCATCTGTCTATATTTTTGCTTAGGGAACATGGTTTGACTCATATAGGAAATCTTGTAACAGTGAGTCATAGCTCAACATATTTCTAAATCTAAATGTTTGGCATGGTGTAAACGCAACATCAAAATATTTCAGTGAATTTTCACTGTTTAATCATCTCTTAGTTACTGTGTAAACGCATCTGAAATGTTCCAAAAATAAACTATAAAACAGAAGTCTGAAAGTGAAATAGCAGTCAATGAACTTCCTCAAATAATGTGTTTTAATTAGCATAGGCAAAATATCTTCCAAGTGAGATGATAATGGGGAAAACATATTTAATTTGTTAGATTTTTAAAGTGTGGTTACATTGTAGTTAGAGTTTAAAATATTCAATATGTTATTTGATATTTGCTTCTCTTCAAGTTTTGCCCTTCAAATACAATTATTTTTAATAAGTGAAACAATTTTTTTTGCAGTGAATATAAAATGTAAAAAGAAAAGAAAGGATGTTAGTTTTTACCGAAGTCTCATTGTTTACTCTCAACCATTGCCTTTAAATAGCTATCAAAATAGAAGATCAGTGATTTCATTATTTCGATACTAGGCATCAGCACACTTGACACAAATAATCTATGTGAAATCAACTCTTATGTAAAAAAGGATAAATAAATGGTTCATTTTTCTACAAATCTGAAGAAGCCAGGAAAAAAAGAACTTAAATAAAATCTGGACATGTAAATAAATCATTTTCCTCCACCAAGTATTTTAAAGTTAAGAAACTGTTCTAAATAGGATGAAATTAGCCCCTGAGGAATTCCTAAACGTAAAATTCTAAAGTTACTTTGAATCTGGAAGATTAATGCCTTTTATCAGATCACATATTTCCCCTCCAAGTAAATATATTAGCTACTATCTTTCATTCCACCTATCCCATGCCCCCAAAATCTGAGATAATTTCTGAGAACTAGAGAAAAGAACAAGAGGAAGACAAAAATGGATGTAAAATCACTAATTCCCTAATACTCACTCATTATTTAGTTGGAACCGACTCACAGCTGATCAACCACTGAGACTTTCAAAGACTTTTTCCTGATAATATCACTCACTCATACTTTCATTTGGTTTCTGCCAATAACATCCCTCACTACATTCTCCTTTCATTGAGTTGGAATGACTCCTGGGTTGTCCGGAGGCTGTAAATTGCATGTGAGGAGATGGCCACCTTTTTCCCTTGGAGCCACAGAAAGGAACAAACTTTGGGCTAGCAGCATAACTCCTTATGGACCAAGCCACCCAATCTCTCTATGATAACATCACTGCTGCTACTGTTGTTGTTGTTGTTGTTATGTACCATGGAGAAGGAACCAACTCTGACTCTCCAGCAGGTTTTCAGAGGCTGTAAACCACACAGAAGAGGATTGTTCATCTTCCTCCCATAGAGCAGCTAGAGGATTCAAACTGCCTGCCTTTGGATTGGCAGCACAACTCCTTACCACTAGGCCACCAGAGTTTGGAACAAAAGATTCACTCTGGAAGCCCCAAATACTTGCATACCTCAATGTATACCTTCACTTAACTGTGCTTTGTAAATACTGCGTTTTATTTTTAACAAATGGAAGATTTGTACAAACCCTGTGTGGAGCAAGCTTGTCCACACCATTTTTCCAACAATATATGCTCTCTTCATGTCTCTGTGTCATATTTGGTAGCCCTTAAAATAGTTCAAAACTTCTCATACTGCCGTTGTCCTATAGTGTAAGCATAACTTTTATATGCACTAGGAAACAACAATAACAACAAAAATCCTGTGACTCACATTATTACAGTAGCCTGGAAAATAAAAATGCAGTTTCTCCAAAGTGTGACTGAATAAAAGCTTAAGCCATTTACTTGAGGACTGATCAATCCCTATAAATATGTAAGTTTTATCCCATTATATATCCTGGTCTTTACACTGTGTTAAATGGCTGAATCGTACTTTTCATTTTTCTAATATACACACAGTAAGAATTTTTAAAAAATGTATAGAATAGTCAATTGCCTGCCATTATTAGCAATTTTTAGCAATTTTAAGGTAACTTTTTAGGGAATTACTTAGATTAGATATAAAAATATTTCCTTTCTGAAAATTCCATTATAGAAATATATCTATTTAAGCAGACTCATTTTCAGGTAAAGAAACAAAATTTAGCCTAGTATATTTGAAAACTGAATTGTGATGAAGGAAGACCTAGTTTCATTCTCAACACTCTTGCCCCCAGGCAATTGAATTCAAATAGAAAAAGAAACTAAATATATATTCAGTTCTCTGCCAGCCCTAACTTCAGGTGTCCAAGTGTAGGACGGACCTGAGCAGTGTGTTCGGAGCTGAGTTGTTGCTGACTGGCTCACTGTGCGGCCCACACCATCTTTCTGGGGAGTTGTTGATGTTGTTGTTAGGTGTCATCAAGCGGATTACAACTCATAGTGGCTCTATGAACCACAGATCGGCACCTTGCTGTGTCCTGTGCTGTCCTCACCATCTCTGACGTGCTTGAGCCCATTGTCACAGTCACTATGTCACTCTATCTTGATGGGTATCCTCCTCTCTCGGAACCGCCCACTTTCCCAGCATGATGTCCTTTCCCAAGGACTGGCCCCCTCTGAGAACTGGGAAGCAATGGTGCTAAATTGAAGTCTTGAATCTCCAAATATCTCAATGGTTCATAAATTTGGTGAGATGTTTCAGAAAGTCTCCAGGAAGTCTGAGCCTTGAGTTGGTTTAGACCAATGATGACATAGCACTAGAGAAACTCCAGAAGGCACACACACAGCCCAAAGCCACAGTGCTGAGGAGGTCCCTGACAATAGGGATTGTCCTAACATTAAGCCAGCTATGATTTGTTAGGGAAAAAGCCAACATATTCAGGTTTAGAACTTGATGAATTGAAAAGGCAGAGGATGTCAGTCAGCTCTCATTTAGGCAAAGGTTTGCTTATTTCACTTAGCTTAAAAATCTCATGGTATCATTTCAGTTAAAACTATTAGGGTTTTTTAATTTAGCCCAAGTCTCTACTCAAACTGTTACAGGTAGAGAGGATTCCTGCCTGCCAAAGAGTGCATTGGTGAACTCATTGTGCCTGCTTGATGCAGCTTTGACAACTACTTCCTGCCTTCTTCAAACACTGGGTTCCCTGTCTGAGTCACATTTACAACATACCTCCAATCACCTAACAGCATAATAATGTGTTTAAATTTAGAAAGCCTCTGAGTACCTGTAATATACATTGTGAAAATAAGTATTATTTAAAAAATTCACTCAAGTTATAGTCTAATTTATACATGGGACTAAAGCCATGTATTGGGCATTACTTTTTTCTTTCGGAAATTTCTTTTTATTTTTCCCCAAAAAGTCACAGTAGTTTCTGTGCCTTTTTTTCTTTTCAGTGAATTTCTATGAATTATGTATCTTTTGTACTTCTTAGAAAATGTATGTATGATTAAAGATCATTTTGTGTGATCCATGTATTTAATTTTTCAATAAAATATGCAAAGGGTCAAACATACTCGTTTTTTTGAAAGAACTACATCCATGATTAATCGATCAGAGAGAAGTAGGATACTCCCAAGGACAGTTAACAATATGAAAGGAGCAGTCACAGTTAAGGGAATCAGCAAGGACCTCTGAAGGATGCCAGGGCTAGCAACACAGGAAGTTCTTTCCATTCCTAAGCCTGAAGCAGTTACTGGAAACCAGCAAGAGCTGTTGTAGATACCACAGGGCAAGGGCTGTGGTCTCCAGTAGAGAACCAGGTGTTGCCAAACCACAGGGAGGGTCCAGAAGACCTCCCCGAATACTCCCCGAATATCCTGCCTCTTCTTCCTTGTAGTCAAACTAAGCTAAAATCCAGACAGCCGAGGTGATCCAACCTGAAAGCACAGACTGGGGGGGGGGGGGGGGGAATAGATCCAGAACAGCAAATGGGAATGATCCAGCTTAAGAAAATGGAAATGATCTTCAAAAAACAATGTACCAGGACAAAAAATGAAACCTCAAATTGAGCAGCCTCTGTTTTTAACTATTACTCAAAATAACTATACCCTACCAAACTTGGAGAATAAGGATTCTTCTGT